ATCTAATTGAGTGAGGGAATCGTGAAGGATTTTGTAAGCAAAGAGACTTAATCATATTAATTTTTTTGTTTTTGTTTTTTATTTAACTGGTCATTTATTTTTTTTTCTTTTGAAATCAAGGTTATTGAGCTGCCTGTGAAGCACCCTGAGCTCTTTGAAGCCCTAGGAATTGATCAACCCAAGGTTGGATTTTAATACCTTCAAAAAGCCTCAAAAGCTTCAAAAGTTTTTTTCAGACACATAACTTGTAAATTACAAAATCATCTATACTGTCTTGCTTTCAAATAAATTCCCCGCAGTATTAAATTAGCTATTAGAAACCTTAAGAAAACCATAGCGCAGTGGTAACAAGGACATGCTAAAACAAAAGATCTACTCGGCAGAATAATAGCTTGGTTCGTGTGTTTTAAAACTTGGATAATTTCTTAGCGGCTAAACCTTGTGTAGTCTGAGAACAGAAATGCCGACAGCAAATTATTTAAGTTTCCATTTGGAATTCAATGCTGCTCACAAAGATTATGCAGAAGTTACGGTGTAGGGCTATAAGACACACAAAAAAAAAAACCATCCAGTCATTTGCAAAATTCAAGCTTAAAATATAAATTCATTTTATAATCAAATTCTCTCTTGGTGTTGTTGTCTGGACTGCCTAAGGCTATTATTATTATTAAGAAGTGTAAAGTAGCAAAATAGAAGTTCAAATAGGGAAATTGAAAAAAAGAAAAATCATCTTGAAGATGAGCAATGCGGTGCAAATGTAGCTCCTTAAATATACATGAGGATATCATTAAATTTTTCCAGGGAGTATTACTCTATGGACCACCAGGAACTGGAAAGACACTTCTTGCTCGAGCTGTTGCACATCACACAGAGTGCACTTTTATCAGAGTTTCAGGCTCAGAACTGGTTCAGAAATTTATTGGTGAGGGTGCCAGGATGGTTAGAGAGCTGTTTGTCATGGCAAGGTATTAAAACGATAACTTTATGCAAGTCTCAATAAATGTACTTGAGATAAGCCAGATAATTCTTTCAAATGGCTACTAATTTGGGCAAGATTTTCAAGACAAAACTGAAAAAAAAAAATTTAAATTGCTTTTCCAATAATCATGCTGAAATTACCTGTACAATGTAGGTCTGCAATAGAAGGAATTCTTCTTGATCAAGTTGAGGTTTTGATAGGTTGTCTATACACATACATGTCTAAAAACATTCAGGGCATGAAGCAGTAGATATTTACCACTCACAACACATTTGCTCCCTCTGATATTTTGCCCAACATTTCTAACCCATGAAGGCTTGTTCAAAGCTTTTAAAGAGATTCAAACTCTTTTTCATATCTAATATGTTGTTGCAAACTAAAATCTGTTTTACTCTATTTCCAACAGAGAACATGCTCCCTCCATCATTTTCATGGATGAGATTGATTCAATTGGATCATCAAGATTAGAGGGGGGATCTGGTGGTAAGTGTTTTTCTTTTTGACAATAAACTGTGAAGTTCACTGTAAACAAATGAACTTAGTCTTCTTACATTCAAACCTCAATTATCCAGAGTTTGCAATTACCTGCACTTGCTTCTCTGATCCCATTTTTTGATGAGTCAGTATTAATTAGTCACATTTGAGATCCATAACAACTTTTCCCATCAAACAAAGCAATATCCTGATACAATTTGATTTCAATCCAATAACACAGCTTTAAAGAATGATGGAATGAGTGACATGCACATGCTGTAGCAACTTGAAGCAAAACAATTTACATTAGTATTTTAGGTTGTAAAACGTTGTAGTTGTAAGACTTTTTGCAAGTTCTTTGGCAAATTTAGGCAACAATGCACAGTGATTTGAGAATTATTTTCCTTTAATTCCTGCGTTATGTTGATTTAATATGTGTACGTACATGGTTTTGTTTTTAGCTCATTAATATTCACATTTTCAATTATCCTGCCCAGTCCACACAAGTCTAGATAATTGAGGTTCAACTGTAATCATTGATCATGGTTAGCCTTAAGGGTTGTTCAACAGCTCTAACAAAGGAATTTAACTTGGGTACAGGTGACAGTGAAGTTCAAAGGACCATGTTGGAGTTACTGAACCAGCTTGATGGGTTTGAAGCAACAAAGAATATCAAGGTTGTCATGGCAACAAACCGAATAGACATTTTGGATTCAGCACTTTTACGACCAGGACGTATTGATCGGAAGATAGAGTTTCCTCCTCCAAATGAAGAGGTAAAATGTTAAGTATGTTTTCTTATAAAGATTACTGTATTTATTTGATTATGCGCCTTGGGCACTTAGTCCATTTTTCTGCCTTGAGGGTGGGTACCTTTTCAAGGCTGGGTGTGTATTGAATTTTCACCTTTTTCAACAAGTACAGGCTACTCTCTGCTTAACAGACAGTCTCATAAGCAGACAGTTCGACATACAGACACCATTTTCAATTCACTTTTTTGCCTCCCAGTCAAACTCCCTATTTATGCATTCCTGCAAGTAAACAATTTTTAAAATGAAAAGTAGATTTTTCTCATATTTACGCTCTCTCTTAAGTGGACATCCCATGTATAATAATTGAATATTGGCAATAAAAAATGTCTTGAATTTGAAAATCAACAAAGTGTGACCTCTGACAGAGCAACGTGGGGATGGGTTTTGTCAAATCTCCATTTGTCAGCTGGAAAGCAAGTTGTCAGGTTGTTTGACATTATCAAGGGTTAAACATAACACTCCTGTAAGGGGACATCCACCCTCTTTATCTTTGGTGTCTGCTTGCGGGAATAATTCCTTTTGGCGGACAGTTGTACTAAGAGACACTTTTTCCAATTTCCGATTGTGTCCGGCTACAGGAGAGTTGACTGTAGTGAGTTTATTTTTTAACAATATGATAATTAATAACAAGGTTTTTTTAGGGGGGAGGGGGTGTTGTGTCATGGGGTGGGTGGGTGCTGCTTTGAGGCCGAGGGCTCATTATTATTTCGTACCCACACTGTGGGCACTTTATCTAGAAGGGCACTTGATGAACATTGGGCATTTAATTGACTAAATACAGTAATTGTTCCACAATTGTACTTTTAAGTTGTATAACAAAAATGTACAACAAATCAAGTAGACTTACCAGTAATTTGCTAACAATTTTATTTGCCTAACAGGCTAGATTGGACATCTTGAAGATTCACTCCAGAAAGATGAATTTAACAAGAGGTATAAACCTCAGAAAAATTGCTGAACTTATGCCTGGTTCATCAGGAGCTGAAGTCAAGGTATTGTAATAGTTCTACAGTTGTTGATCAAACTTGTGCTTTGTAAATTAAATTCAGATAAAAGCTAAATTCTTCAAGTACCAGTTAGAGGAACGTGTATGAAGAGATTTTGCTTCAGTTTCAAAAAAAAAAAATTGCATATTCAATATCCTGAAAGCTCTGTTATTTGAGATGTAAACCACACTTTCTATCGGTTTTCCAGCATAATAACTCACACAGGGTTTTGGGAGAACATGAGGAAGTTTGTAAATCATAAGCAGGAAGTGAGTGATACACAAACTTTTATGGTGTTCTCCCAACATCCCAGTGGGTTATTAGGCCAGTAAACCATAAGAAAGGGTGGTCTATTGCTTTTATGAAACAAACTAAAAACATTTCAGTTTTCTTTGGGTTTAACAATGTTGTACAATGTAAATGATAGGTTTTGACCAATGAGGATGCTTTTAGTTTTTTTCAGTTCTTTTACAAAAAAAATGTATTCAACATTGTTATTTTCACAATAGAAGCATTTTTAGTTGAATTGCTGTAACCAGAAAGTTATGCAAGTTTTCAATTCTTTTATCACTGAAGCAAAAAGTAAAGTTGTGTGATAGTATAATCTGAATGTGCGGGTGAGTGTAGCCCTTAGAAGGACTGTTGACGGAAGTAGTGATTGATGTTTCGACAACCTGAGTGGAAGTCATCGTGAGAGTGGATAGACTTCTGCTCAGGTTGTTGAAACATCAGTCACCGCTACCAACAACAATCCTTCTGAATCTCAGGACAATGCTCTCCTGGACAAACTGACTACTCAGTCACATCTTACCCCCAGGTTCAAACCATATACAGTATTAAAGTTATGCAACACATGCACAGTGGAAAGCCAGTTGTAGATACTGAGTGACACACAGTTTGAACCTGTTTAGACTTGTCTGTTTACAGGGTGTTTGTACAGAAGCAGGCATGTATGCCTTAAGAGAAAGAAGAGTTCATGTGACGCAAGAGGACTTTGAAATGGCGGTCACTAAGGTACATGTGTTTGTTGGTATTTTAAACTTTGATGAACTAAGAGGTTGATGGTGGCAGATGCCCTGGCCCAGTGGTTCACCCTCCAACTACCAAGTTCTGAGTGTTAATTCTCTCTTTTGGCTGCTTCACATTTCCGTGCAAATTAGCTACAAGAATTTGGGGTTGTATCAAGATAATATCTTCTATTCTATAAGTTTTTTTATTCTCATTACCTGTGGATAATGTATGGATATCATATGGAGAATTTAGTCATTAATCACTTCTGGAAGCTAAAAGGTTCATACACTAGACCTCCCGAAGTCTATGGGGTCAGGTCATTGGGCAAAACACTCAAATCCCACAGTCCCTCTCTCTCTCTCCACCCAGAAGTGTAACTGGGTACAGGCAAGTTGTTAGGTAGGGAAGTGTGGTGAAATGCGGGGTATAACCCTGCGATACTCCTGGTGGCTTCATGCCAAAGATACAGGGATAAGCTTTGGTTGGGTTGGTTTTTTGGCTTGAGCTCAGACTTAACCTTAACCCTTTAACTACCAGAAGTGATTAACATGAAACTTCTCCCAATAATTTCCCTGCATTATCCAGAAAACAGGAAATTAGAGTACTCAAACTAATCAGGTAGAATGGTTATATCAACTAAGTTGAAATTGTAAATTAGCCACTG